TGGAAAAGATCTTTAAAAAGACGTTTAACAGCCGGGCTCAGTGCGGCTATGAGGATGTAACGAAGCTCCCCCCAAATGGGTCTGGCACTGCTCTTCCCAAAGATTTCTTTCGAAGCGAGACTTGCCCAGAGAGCAAAATTCAAAAGGACAGAAGCGCTCATTTGCCTGAACAACAAAAATAGCTTTGACAGAGGGGAAAAACCACAACAATTTCCCCGCTGCAAAGCAAGTCGCATGGAATAAGAAACTCAGCGGCACAATTAATGAAAGTACAAATCGCATGTACATGGAAACAAACGACGGGAAATTAAAACCAACAGATGGTGCGTAGTGAACTGTTATTTGGAGAGGGAGAAGCAGCCGACGGTGGAGGTGCTCACCGGCACGGAGAGGAGGAGGTGACACGGCAGCCTCTGGCCGCGGGCTTGCCCAGGTTCCCGCTCCCCACGAGAGCACACAGGAGTTGGGGCAGGACGAGTACCACCACGGATCGGCCATGGGGCTGCTGACCCCAGAGCACCCGACGGGAGCTCCCAGCCACGCAAGTCTGGTGTCACGCGTGGTCCAGGGACCCCAGCACACCCCGCGGTCACTGCCGAGCCGTGGGAAGGCTCCGCTTCTATAGAGCAGCCGTTGCGTGACACACTCAGCCCATTGCTGAGATTCGTTTCAAATATTTCACTTGGAAAAGCCTGCCAAGATCACACGATAACTCCACCGCTGCAGCGACACAGGATGAGCCCTCTTTCAAAGATGTCAAACCTCAAAACGACTCTGTTCCGCAGGTAAGCGAGCCGATACACAAAGATTTACACGGAAAACAAACAGAAAGAGCTCCCTGCCAGTTTGCCCTCGCTCAAAGCGCAGAGCCCGCTCAGCCCTCGGGCTGCAGCCCCTCTCTCAGGTATTCTGCACATACTCAAATTATAAATAGCCCAGGCGGCTTCTTCAGGTGGGAAAAGACACAAAAAGAGAAAGGTTAATGTTTCTATGTCAACCACTTAGAGATGCGCTGCACTGAAGGCTCTGCAAACGGATGACTAAGACACGAGGTCGTTGACGATGGGTATGGGAGAGCAGATCTCCTTACCCCCGGAAAGCTCAGACATCAGCTGGAAAAATAAACAGCCCCGAGCGATTTCTGGTTCTTGGCACCATCGCGAGCAAAAGCAGAGAGGAGCGCGGTCCCGGGCAACCCCGAACGACTGCAGGATTTACGGTGGGCCACCACTCTGCGGAGGGCAAGGCAAAAGCCCCACAGCTTGGGACGTGGAAGGGCATGGAAGGCAGGCGGGCACATCCCACAGGAAACCTTTCCATGTCAGAAAATGTTTTTCAGAGGATTTTAGTGGCTGAAGCTGTTGTCAGCCCCTTTTGCAACCGGTGATGGAGCTGGAAGAACCGGCGGCTCCGCACAGCCCCGTTAGCTGGAGAGCTCGCACGGTGGAGGAACCAGGCTGGGGGTGCTGATTCAGCATCTCTTCGCAGAGTTGCACAACAAAGAAAGAAAAATATGCCCAATCTCAGCCACTGTCAAGAAAATGCTTCTATTTAACCTAAACAAAGGGACTTTGCTTCTCTTGGGCTTCCTTGGCTTTACAACTCAAGACGCTTTATCCTGATAAGGCATTACCCGGGGATCAGACTAATCCTGCGCTAACTTAAGGATCAGCCACAAACCCCTCAGTCGGCAGCGCTCGTCGCAAAGGCGTGTTTGCCTCTCTGCTTGTTTGCTGGGAAAAGAAAAAAAAAAGCTTCAAAATCTCAACCTGCAAAGCAATAACCGTGCTGGAGGGTCACTGCCGAGACTCCTGTTGTTGATGCCGGACGGCCACGGGATGTGTTATGGCAGCGTGCTGATGGCCGTGGCGAGAGCAAAAAGCGTGATATCCATAGGTGTCCTTACACACTACAGCTGATACGCAGACCTGATCTAGACCAGGGCATCCAAGCGCAACTCCAGCCCGGGTGGAGAGCCGCCCTGAGGAGAAGGCCCTGGGGGTGCTGACTGAGGAGAAGCTCACCAGGAGGCGGCAATGGGCGATGGCAGCCCAGAAGGCCGACCCCATCCCGGGCTGCATCAGCAGCAGTGTGGCCAGCAGGGCGAGGGGGGGATTCTGCCCCTCTGCTGCGCTCTGCTCTGGGGAGACCCCCCCTGGAGTACTGCCTCCAGCTCTGGAGCCCCCAACCGAGGAGAGACATGGAGCTGGTGGAGCGGGGCCAGAGGAGGCCCCGGAGATGCTGGGAGGGCTGGAGCCCCTCTGCTGGGAGGACAGGCTGGGAGAGGTGGGGGGGTTCAGCCTGGAGAAGAGAAGGCCAAAAAGGGGAGACCTCAGAGCCCCTTCCAGTGCCTAAAGGGGCTCCAGGAGAGCTGGGGAGGGACTCTGGATCAGGGAGGGGAGCCTTTTTTTTTCCCCTGGGGCAGGTTGCCCCGAGAAGCTGTGGCTGCCCCATCCCTGGAGGTGTTCAAGGCCAGGTTGGACGGGGCTTGGAGCAACCTGGGCTGGGGGGAGGTGGCCCTGCCCAGGGCAGGGGGTTGAAACGGGATGATCTTCAAGGTCCCTTCCAACCCGAACCATCCTACGATCTCATAGCACCATGGACCATCCACCAGCCCCAAAGCCAAGGGGAACCCTTTTTCACTGCTCTAGGAGCTCATACCATCTCCAAGCCCTGCCATCCCCCTCCACTCTCCCTTAGCTTCCGGCTGTTGCTGGGCACAGGATCAGCTCTGTCCTCCGCAGCCTCCGAGGGCACGTTCAGAGCGATGCGGACGGCAGCCGTGGGCAGAGCAGG